GCCCCCCCATACACAGGAGTCCCAGGAGCCCCCCCATACACAGGAGTCCCAGGAGCCCCCCCATATACCGGAGCTCTCAAAGCTACAGGAGTCTCTTTGTTACAATTCACCGAAGGGCAATATGCTACAAAGTATCCACAGAAGCCTCCCTGTGCATCCCGACCTACAATAACCATGTCCATGCTCCAATGGGGCCCAGCTTACACCACCCTTAGGGAGCTAAGAGTGGTTAAGGATCTGAGGGTGGCACAGAAGAGTCAATTGAAAGACAGCAAAGAACCAATCCACCCAAAGTCAATTTTCTGGACAGCATACAGAGGAACCTCCCCATTCAAACTTCCCAAAGTGCAGTATGCTGCAGAGCATCCACAGCAGCCTCCCCATGTCAATTTACAAAAGGATGGTTTGCTGCAGAGTATCCCCAGGAGTCTCCCCGTGCCAACCCATCGAAAGGCTGTTTGTGGCACTGAAACAGGAACTTTTCCGTGCCAACCCACAGAAGTGCAGTTTGCTAAGGAGCAACCACAGGAACCTACTCGTGCATCACAACATTCAAAAACAATGCTGCGACGGGGTCGAGCTGAACCATCCCTAAGGGTAGTGCAGGAGGTCCAATTGAAAAACAGCACAGAGCCAGCCCAATGTTCCTTCAGCCAAGTGGTCTCTTTGGCTTCTCAACAAAACTTCATCACCTCACGTAAATGCGGGAAGACGCAGTATGGAAAACTGCAGTTTGACTGGATGAGGGGATCTGTGAAATCTCGGCATTCATTAAAGTGAAAACTGATTTGTTTCAAGTAAACAAAGTATCCTTCCTCCATGTAAGAATGATTTTTTTGTACAACTTCAGTCAGCTTAACTACTTGTTTTACTCCACATGGAATTATTTCTAGAAAATGCTTTCATTCACATGGAAGTGCAGAGAGCACCATAAAATGCTATTTTCCCTCTGGATCTATGGGTGGCGCCAAACATGAAGTATGGAACATATGTATGGTGAGTTTGGAGTTGTAGGTCAGATTAGAGGTTAACATTTTCAAAAAATAGATTTTTTTTTCACTGTCCAAGTAAAGGTGAAACTTTAATTCTCAAACACATTTAAAAAGACACAAAAAAAAAAAAAACAGTTGAGGGCACCTTAAAATATATTTTTCGTGTGAATGTGAGGCAGACATGGTTAAAACATTCCTGCTTTAAAAAAAAAAAGGTTCCCGTGAGGACGGGCTCTTATGGGCTTGACATACAGGAGGCATGTCACTCCCTATTCATTAATTTATGGAACTTGTTTGTTTGATGTGGCAACAATTGCTTGCCCTCCAGTGAAGTGACGGGCGAAATTTGTGCATGTGAAATTTTGAGCTGGACATGCAAGCTAGTGGCGATATACAAGAAAGTAAAAAAAAATGTTAAACTTTTGTCGATGCTGCTTTTGCTGTCATGTGTGACATGACATGTCACACATGACACACATGTCGTGTGTTGGATTCAGAAAACGCTCTTTTCGCTGTTGTTCTTCGGTCCCTGTGTTGACCCCATTACTCTTCACGAGCTTGCAGATCAATAATGACGTTTTTCCATGAGTGTCATAATCTGTTTGGTCCCAGTCTGACCCGGCCACATTCATTTCCCATTAGCAGATGTGGCATCGCTCTGTTCTCAGATTTTCCTACTTCAGAGGTAGTGCTATCCACCGAGCCGAAGCGATTTGATTGGGAGCTGACCATATTCGTTGATTGTGATTACTTAACAGCAAAGGCCAAAACCTCATTATAGTGTAGCTGTGGACCACGGACATGCTATCCATCAGAGAACTGTTTGGTCTGGAGGAGCGAAATAATCAGTTAAATCACGTTTTGGAGGGGAACTACCTTAACTGAGCAGAGCAGCTTCTCGCTCTGAAGATCAGGCAACAATAAAGAAGAGAGTAGCGACGAAGCTGTGGTCAGAGTGTCGGGCTTCTGACCAATTCTCTGTAAAACAGTTCATGTAATCATGTCAGTGTTGTAACTTTCAGTTTTATCGGCAGCTGCTGTTAAAAAACAACAATAAAAAACAAAAACAAAACAGAATTGTAAAATAAATAAATAAATGAGGTCTCAAGAAAATCGTCGTTTTCCAACTTTTGTCACTCAAGCCTGACAAATAAAAGTCCCCATGGACAAACACGGGTTTCCAACACATTGTATGTATTTATAATTTTTCATTGATATAAAAGAATGGAAGCTGGCAGCAGGGCACAAAAAATTAAGACTTTCTGAAGTGTAGGCTTTCTGGAAAATCCCGTTCTAATGTAAAGTATGACATATTACTGGATAAAATAAATTTCTAGTTGATAGTCTGATTTGGCTCAATCAGACTGTCACACATAACAGAGAATTTGAAAACATTTACTCTTTATTTGCCAAAGTTATGAGGGGGGGAACCAAATATTTCAGCTCCCTGAAATAATCTGCCCCCCCCCCCATCTATAACATGGGAGCTAATTATTTTTTCATAAGGAAATAAGATGCAAATGCAAAGTAAGTGATAACATCTCAGCATATAATCTTACAATTGCAAGACGACTGTATCCACTGATCCACAGTCACCCCAGGGTTTCCACCAGTGAATTATAAGCCTTGCCATGCTTTACTGTTTAACACAATGAATGATGTTAAACACACTTTCTTTATTAACAAATGTTTCAAATCACAAGAAAAACATGTTTTTTGCACGTTGAGCTGTTATTGCTAGAAAAGTCTGTTGATTAAAATAGAAATTAAAGCTGAAAAAAACATTTATAACCAGCATCACCTTTTTTTTTCAAAAATAACGCTTAAACTAGAAAAATTATACGAAAAACATAGCATCAAACTAACTGTACTGATAAAAACATTAAGCCTGACTGAGAAGTATCAAAGAAACAGAACATAAGAGTACTTTTTAGGAGGCAGATACCCAGTCGACTTCAGCATAAATCCTATAGCTTACACGAATGGCACCTGGATCAAAGAGAAGCAATTACATTCTGAGCAATGGCTTAGAAATATGAAGTGTAGCATAAAGGAAGACATCACTACAGCAGAGTTTACAGAATCCAGAAGGCTTAGCTATTATATGATGCCATTTCCATTACTATCTGACATAGTTTAACTTAGTGCCACCATCTTCCATATTGAATATTATCCGTTCTCAGAATTTGCTATGTTTTCAAGCCATGGCACCCGAGAACTACCACACACAGCTGTTTCTGGTGCAGACTCACATTGATGGATAAATGCGATAAACAGTAGCCCTGTTCTCTCACTGATCTACAAATGTCTGCATGTATTTTTAGATTATATATGGTTGATAAAGTGAATATCATATATTTATATTAGAATAGAAAATACATTTCAGATTATGTTAGTTTTTAATTTTAGATCAATTAGATAGTACATATCATTTTATGTGACTTTATTTGGCCTGGGGCCAGCTCCTTACATCAAGGTACAACAAGGTTCCATTAGGATGCATCGCCGTCCTTAACTCACCTGCTGCTGCTCACTGCCAGTCAGCTGACAGAAAAAACAAAAAAAGTCTCACTTACGAGACAATTTCTGCTGTTTGGGAATATTTTGTGATGTTAAAAAGTACAGGAAGTCGTAATCTAAAAACTAGCAGAGCACTAGTCCTGTTGCCTAGCGACAACTACAGGCCAGGTACAGGAACAGATAGGTAGACGGTGTTACTCTGTAGAGCAAAAAAATATATATTCTTCCCTCAAATATTTCTTCAGAATTTAGCAAGTGTTTTTCATTTTCTATGTATGAAAATATACAAATAAATACATGTTATATCATTAATTTAAAGGTCATAGGGTAGTTTTCAGCAACACGCCTAATAATTTTTGCTTTATTTATGTTTTTGTAAAAAGCAGTTAGATAAGGAAATAATTCAAGTCTCAAATTTATATGAAAAGACCATTGCTATGATCCCGCCAGACCCTCAGAGCAGCCTGAGCCTCACGTATCAGAGGAACCTCAGTGAGGCTGAAATAGCCACGTAATTTCAGACACACATATTCGAATGTTTGTGCGAACGCAGTTCTAATCACCTGCTCTTGCCAGCCATTTTCTATTCATGCAAACATTTTTCACATTGTAAGTAAAACTTAAAACATCTCTGTTTGTAAAGAACAGAAAACTGAACTGCAGGAACGGTTTTGAAGCCACAGCATCAAGCGTTAAAATGTCTGGTTCAGTGCAGAGTTGTGCAGATCCCAGCCTTACTCTCTAGTTCTGGTACAGGCAGCATTGGACTCAACATTTCCTTCCAGCTTACTGTGATGAATACATTTACTCTCTTAAAGAGGTAGGATGCATGTTGTGAAAATCATGCACATTCAGAACATGCATTATGAAAGCTTTAAAAAGGGAATGCGTTTTTGTTTTTAATAACAGTGCAGATAAGCTCTTCCTTCCTGTGTCACTTGGATTATGGTGACACGTCCTGGACTCGTTTCAGTTGGTGATGCAGGTGCTGAAGGCCATTTGTGTTCCTCCCAGATCATCCCAGTGGGCTGATGTGTGTGTGGTTAAGGAGATGGTTCACTGAGGTAAGTACAGGCTAACACCCAAACCAAGACCCACAAACAGAAGGGACTCCTAACAAACTGATGTTCTGAGTGCAACTTTGGTTCAAGTAGTGTCTGCACAACACTGTTTCTTAATCGACTGGGCTTTAAATTAGCACCACATAAGATGGAGGTTGTGGTTTTACTTGAAACAAAGTTGCGTTAGACTGAACAGACAGTCCCTTCCATTGGAGGTATGGGGGAGGGGGATTTAGGGGATGGGATTATCTGGCGTCATTGAGCTGCCGGGCCACAGTCAGGATCTCCTTGGCTCCTTTGCTTAGCAGTAAATCAGCCAGTTTGATGCCCAGCCGCTCAGCCGCATCCTGGGCTTCAGCTGGGACTTTCATGGCTGTGACTCCCACTCTCTGGACCTGCTCGTCCACCCTCTCCAGGCTCTGCTGAGAGTGGACATCAGTAGAAAGATTAAACCTGAGAATTGACAGTTGGAAGAAGAGCAACACTTTCACACTCACTTCGTCACCGGGAGCGATGCTGGTCTGCATGGTTTCTTTGATGCTCTGTGATCCATCTAGACTGTACACGGCGCCGGTCATGTAGAGCTGAAAAAGGATGGGCAGGTTTACAGTTTGAGTGAAAATTTCCTTATGTCTTCAAGAATATTTTTGAAGAAGTTTGTCAAACTGATGCACAAATATGTGTCAAACAGCATAAAGTAGGGTTGACTGGAAAATCGAAATCGTGTGTCTCATTTTAGATCAATACAGTAGAGTTTAACCTGTTGGTTTGGACAATCAGTATGTAAATGCGTTTGTTGAAGTCAAGTCTGCAAGTGACTGGTTTGAGTTAATCAGAGGGAAGCAGGCCTGTGTTTGTTAAATCAGTGAATGAGTAAGAATTCACAAAATCCTTAATTTTTACATTTTTTAAGATTTCATGTTCATCCATCCATCATCTTATCTGAGCTCAGGTCACGGGGGCAGCAGTCAGCTAAGCAAGAGAACCCAGACTCCCCTTGGTTATATTAGCTAACTGTTTAAAGTTAGCTAATACTCTCTAACTTTATACAATTAGCTGACAGTAGCACCAACTGACTTTCCTCAGTTAGCTAATGCTAACTAACTTTATGCAGTTAGTTAACATTAGCTAGTTATCGCTAATATTAGCTAATACAACCTGACTTTATACAGTTATTAACGACAGTTAGGTAATATCTGACTGTAGCTAATAATAGCTAACTATGAAGTTAGCTTATGGTAACTAACTTTATACATTTAGCTACAGCTAAAGCAATGACTATCTTAATACTACTTCTACTTTATAACTATGCATTTTTAATTTCCGGTGCCGACCCAGTTGGAATAAATGGTTTACTTTTCTTAAAGTGTTTACAAGTTGCTGTATGATATCGTAACTTGAACTGGGAGGGACTGATACCAGAGGAATGAGTGGTTTGGGAGAAATGAGGGGCCCATATGCACCGTAGCCGTACTTTATACAGTCAAAGCAGCAGGCAGTAACCAACAGGGCAGAGTCCTCCTCTTTCCAGCATTCTTACCTGGGACTCCTTCACCTTGGTGTGCACAGCCACAGGAACACTACAGCCGCCCTCCTATTAGTAAAAGTTATTCTGAATAAAAATCAACTCCTTAATTTAAACACTAACAAATTTGTTAAAATAACGCAGGTTTTTGTTGTACCAGTTGTTTGAGGAAAGCTCTCTCAGCGATGCAGCGCAGCACAGTGTCAGGGTCATGGAGGACAGACACCATCTCCAGGATGTCTGCATCTCTGGCCCGGACCTCCACTGCCAAAGCCCCCTGAACACAAACACACAGGGGTTCACTACAACACGATTGTGTACAGTTACCTTTCCATTACACAAATTGAACAAAATGTATTCCTCTACCTGTCCAACAGCATACATACAGTCTTCAGGCTCCAGGATCTACAAGTAGGATCAGAGAGTTTGTTAGATGTGAACCAATCAGAAACATCCTTAGACCTCAGTGCAGCTTTCAACACTGTTGACCACGACATTTTACTGAAT